TGTTAGAAAACCTCTGGCCCCATTTTGTGGAGTTTCTACAGCCTGAGGCTCATTAAGAGTCTGAATAACAGCCTATGGGTGCTCTGAGTCTTTGCCTGTTTTGCTTCTGAACATAGGGCTTGGAAGAGCTGACCTTGGGGCACATCTTGATCCTGTCTAAAAACACCCAGCCCCAGCAAAGGAAACTACAAGCTTGGGAGTGTGGAAAACTTCAAACAGGGTACTCAAGGCCAGTCACAAACAGCATCTGACATTGGCCTGCACCAGAGACCATCCAAAACACTGGGAATCCTAGCAGATCTACCTAATATATAAAAATGTATTAGGTAGCCAAAATGGGGAGACAAAAAAACAAGACCCAAATGAAAGAATGGAAGAATTCTCTAGAAGAAGAACTAAATGAAAGGGAGATAAGCAATCTATCAGATACAGAGTTCAGAATACTGATTATAAAGATGCTCAACAGCATGAAAAAAGATATAGAAACTATGAAGGAAATTAAGAATGACATAGCAGAAAAAAAAATTGGAAGGAATGAACAGCAGATTAGGGGAAGCTGAGGACTGGATCAGCAAATTAGAAGACAAGGTAGAAAAATCACTCAATCAGAGAACCAAAAAGAAAAAACTCTTAAAAACCCAGAGGACAGTTTAAGGAAACAAAAAACCCAGAGGACAGTTTAAGGGAACAGTCTGACAACATGAAATGTAAGAATATTAGCATCATAGGAGGGCCAGAAGAGGTAGAAAGTAAGCAAGGGTTAGCGAAACCGTTTGATGAAATAATGGCAGAAAAGTTCTCTAACCTGGTCAAGGAAAAAGTCACACAAGTTCAGGAAGCAAAGAGACTCCCAAGCAAGAAGAACACAAAGAGGCTCATGCAGAGACACATCATAATTAAAATGCAAAAAATTCAAGACAAAGAATCTTAAAGGCAGCAAGAAAAAACCAATCTGTTACCTACAAAGGAGCCCCCATAAGGCTGTCAGCTGACTTCTCATCAGAACTCTAGAGGCCATAAGGGAATGGCATGGAGTATTCAAAGTCATGCAAAACAAGGGTCTGAAACCAAGAATACTCTATCCAGCAAGGGTATCATTCAAAATAAACAGTGAAATAAAGAGCTTTCCAGACAAAAAAAGGCTAAAGGAGTTTATCAACACCAAACCAGCACTACAAGAAATGTTAAAGGGACTGCTGTAATGAGAAGTTGAAATAGAAAGAATGAGAAACAGGCATAAATAATTAAAATGGCAATAGGTAAGTACCTATCAATAATAATTTTAAATATAAATAAATTAAATGTCCCAACCAAAAGACATAGGGTAGCTGAATGGATAAAAAAAAAAACAAGATCCAAATATATGTTGTCTACAAGAGACCCACCTCAGAACAAAAGAGTCACACCTGCTGGAAAAAAGAAACCAAACCAAAAGAAAACAAAATTTGTGGAGGACTTTAAAGGAGAGATCGCCGCAACACAGTCACAGTAGGGCACTTTAACACCCCACTGACTTTACTAGATAGATCTTCCAGGCAAAAAAATCAACAAGGAAACAGTGATTCTAAATGACACAGTAGATCAGATAGATTTAACTAACATTTACAGAACATTTCACTCCAAAGCTGAAGAATAGGCATTCTCCTCAAGTGCACATGGGACATTCTCAAAGACAGATCACAAGTTAGGACATAAAACAAGTCTCTACAGGTTCAAAAAGACTGAAAGCATATCAAGCATCTTCTCAGACATTTACACCATGGAATACTATACAACTGTAAAAACGAAGGATCCCTTACCTTTTGAGATAGCATAGTGGGAGCTGGAGAGTATTATGCTATGCAAAATAAGCCAGTCAGAGAAAGACAAGTATCACATGATCTTACTCATATGTGGAATCTAATGAACAAAATAAACCAATGAACAAAATGGATCCAGAGACATAGAAGCATGGAACAGACTGAAGAATCTCAGAGGGAAGGTGGGGGTGAATGCGGAGGTGGGGAGAGAATAACCTAAGAACTTATATGCATATATGCATAACCCATGGACACAGACAATAGTGTGGTGAAGACCTGGGACAGGATGAAAGGAATTAATGGGGGGAAATGGGGACATTTTTAATACTTTCAACATTAAAGATAAATAAATTTAAAGAAATAAAAGGAGATTGACAATAAATTTTAGCTAAAGAGCAGAGGAAGGGAGAAATCATGACAGGGCAGTTGAAAAGCAAGGAATCTACCAAATACTTGAGACCCTACCCTACTATACCAGGCACTGCTTTAGGAGCTGAGATACAGCAGTAAATAAGTCTCTGCCGTTGTGGAGCTAATATTCTGGAGGGAGACAAAAAAACATAAATATATGTTGTCAGGTGCTGCTGAATGCTATGGAGAATTTAAAACTAGGTTGGGGAGCAGAGAGTGCTGCTTTTACAAATAGTAGATCAAAAGAGCATCCTGCATCCCAGGAGAGCAAAATGGTGGTCAGGAAAAGCCCTCTTAGAAGGTTGCATTTGACCTGAGATTGGAGACAAAGGAGCCAGCCATGTGGCTGTTGGGGGAAAGCTTTTGGGAAGAACAACAATAAGTGTAAAGGCTTTCAAGAAAGTGAGCTTGGTGGGCTCAAGAACAGCAAGGAAGACGTCAACAAAGCTGAAGTGGAATGGGGGACAGACTGCAAGGGGAGGAGACTGGGGTGCCTGGCACAAAATCATCAATAAACAGAAGCCTCTGTGCGTAAACTCAAACTTTAGCTGGTCCTTGACACTTCATAGTACTTAGAGAGATAAGAGTATGGCTTTGTAGACAGAATACATGGAAAGAGGAATGTGCAATGCCATATTTAAGGAATAAAATATAGATGAACTTGACTGAGATGTTGGGAGTAGTAAAAGTGGAAGCTGACTGCAAAAGTATTTCCTTGTTATTTAAAATTATTTATTTCTCAAAAAATTAAAAATAGAAATACCATAAAAGAATATACCATTTCTGGGTATATACCTGAAGGAAACAAAATCACTACACTAAAGAGACATCTGCAACCCTCTGTTCATTGCAGCATTAGTCACAGTTGCCAAGACAAGGAAACAGCCTAAGTGTCTGTGGATGGAGAACATATTAAAAAAAATAGAAGATGTGGTGTATACAGTGGAATATTATTTGCCCATAATAAAAGGAAATCCTACCATTTGCAACAACATAGATGGACCTTGAAAGCATTATGCCAAGTGAAATAAGTTAGAGACCAACACTGTATGATCTCACTTATATGTGGAATCTCAAAAACAAGAAACAGAAACAAAAACTCATAGGAAAAGAGAATAGACTTCCTGTGCAGGAAAGAAATCTGCCCTATGTCCTTCCAGGCCTCTTTGCTATACAAACATTCTTGAAAAGGTAGTCTGAGACAATGCTACCAGGAGAATTGCCCTCCAACATGAGTAACTGATGGGACAAACAGAAAACAGCCAGCAAGGTGGTAAATTTTAATCCAACCTTATCAATAATCACATTAAAGATGATCAGATTAAACTAAGATAGAGACTGTCAGTTTGGATAAGAAAGCAAGACCCAACCTTGCTGTCTACCAGAAACACAATTTGAATATAAAGATATCAATAGGTTAAAAACAAAGGAATGGAAAAAGATATATACCATGCAAACCAACCAGCACTAACACTAAAAAAGTTGGAGTAACTATATTTAAAAAGTAGGCTTTTGAACAATGGATATCATTAGGGATAATGAGAGATACTGCAAAGGGAAAAAAAACCACCCAAAACCAAACCTGGAGGCAGAGGCTTGTATGTTTAGTTACTTGCACAGGGAAACTGTAATTATTTGTCTAGTAGTACTCACCAAAATGCTGTAGAAAATTTTCTAGCAATTTCTTTAAAATTAAGTAATACAGAATGGGATGTAAGTTCTCTCCTGTAATGCTGTAGAATTGCTTTTTATTAAGAATTGAGGTTAAAACAGGCCTAACTTTCAAGTCACTAGTTGCCAAATTTGCCGATTTGTAGTTCCAATTAATCCTAAGACAACTTTTAAAAGATAATGTTTTCAAAAACATCAATAAAAAGCTACAACTAAATGCACTGTACATTACCTATTTTTTTCACAACAGAAACTACCAGTCCTATTAGGTCCACCTCAGAACAATGGGGCTGGAAGTCTGGATTCAATAATTGGTTGAAGGGAAGCGGCTCCCTTGGCTGATAAACTTTGAACAGGATTTCATCTGAAGCCTACAAGAAAAAAAAAAATCAGCATGTATAGATTCTATAAACTCATACGCATTTATCAAAATTGAAAAATTACAATGAGATATACTTACTTGTATTTGCTGAAACTGAGTGTTTTTGGTTGCTGTTAACTGTATATTAGCTCTTCCAGATTTATTTTTAGATTTTGATGTTGCAAGATGATAGATTCTGTATCTCTTTCCCTCTTTTAGCAGGGAATATAAATCTGATGATGGACGCCAGATACTTAATATAGCTATTCAGATAAAGAGGAAAAAGACACAATGGAAAACCTGATGATCATTAAAATTCTTGTTTAAAAATGAATACTGAAGGGAAACAAAATCACAGAGCCAAGCATGAGAAGGACACAATGCACAGTTACTGGTCTGATGATGGAGAAGGCCATGTGAGAAAGAATGCAAAAGGCCTCTAGAAGCAGAGTGGCCTCTGGTGACAGGCAACACGAGAAACAGGAAACGCATTCTGCCAAGAACTATAGTGAATTTGGAAGAGGAACCTGAACATGAGATAAAAATGCAGCCAGCTGACATTTGCATTTCAGCCTCATGAGACACTGAGCAGAGGACCCAGCCAGTTCCTTCCAAACTTCTGATCTACAGAACTGTGAGATAGCAAATGCATTTTACCCCAGGGCAGGAAAAGCCAGTGTTCCAAGCAGGTAGACTGGGAGGCCTAAAAGCCCTTCCCTTTCGCTCATTCCCCAAATGGATTTGCTTTCTTCCCCGAAGACCATCCAGGAGAACTTGTTATTTAGAATTGCTAGCCCTTGGTCTTCATTGGACATTAAAGCGACTGTCACACTAAGTTTGGTAACCTGATTCCATGAAATCTCCTTTTTTGGTCCCAAGCTCAGCCTGAAAGAGGGATCCAGGCCAGATTCCAGCATCTGTGGGGGCCCCAGGATCCTCTGGGGGCAAAGATGAGACCCATGGTGCCCCCTTTTTCCTGCGTAACTCTGCTCTAACCCAGAGGCTGCCTTAAGATGGCACCCGGTGAATGCAGGCTCTTCTGCTTGGTAGAAAAGTTTGGTCATGAATTCTGAACTGTAAAGCTAGTGAAAACATTCACCTCCATGTGCTAAGGAGCATCTCTTTGATTTTGATATTTTGGAACTTTCAGTAGTCACAAAAGACTGAAAACCACAGCTGTCCTTTGGGGGCCACTCTGGAGGACGTGAAAACAAAGAGGTGTGAGACTGGAGAAAACAGCCAAGAAGAGAGAGAGATAGGAAAGAGCAGAGAATGACAGAGACAAAGGGAGAAAGTAGGGAATGAAAGGGAGAGGAGCTGGGCGACCAGCACAGTGGTTTCAGTCTATGGGTCTAGGACCACAGCTCCTCACTCTAAGTGCTCCCATCCTTTAGAGATCCGCCCCAGAACCCCGTTCCACCAGGAACTGCAAAGCTACTGGCTGGGCATTTGTTCCTGCAGTTTCCTCTCCTGGTTTGCAGGGAGGGGTGAGGTGGGTTATGTTGGTTTCCAAGTGAGTGGAAGTCAAGTCTGGAGCCTCATCGGCTCCCTTGGAGATCACTGTCAAGTAGAGAAACATATAAAAGCTTTGGGGCATATGTAACTTCGTTAAAAACTTGTACTAAATTAAAAATAACTTTCTTCTACGTAAAAAAAAAAAAAAGATACTGATAACAACTAAGATTTAAAGATTCTATCATTTTGTGGTTACTGATAGACCATTTTTGCTCCTTTATACACTAACTTTACACTTTAGCACTTGAAATCATTTAATTAATATAATCTTTAACTTAAAACTAATTAAAAACAAAACATTTACACACTGACCTGAATCTTTTTCTTTTTTCTCATAGCTTATGATACGCAACTTCCATACAGTTGTAACGTCCCTTGATAACATTTGCTCCCCTTTCTCAGCAGATTCCACAGCCTTCTGGAATTCCAACTGGATCTGTGCTTGCTTCTTATCATTCAACATCTGTCTGTGATTATTCAAGGCTCTTAACTGCTCTTCACTAAAATAACCCTGTGATTATTTAATATATGGAGGAAGATAAGGTTGGAATAAAAAGCAAACAAAACAAAAACAAAATACCTCATCTATTGTAAATAAATTCTTTTAAATGGGGGTAAAATACAACAGAGTTGAGTTCACTTTAAGGGTGTGACAATATAAAAATTGAGATTAATGTACTCAGCTTATCACATAACAAATATGTTCTGGTGTCTTAAACAGTTTACTAATCTTTGTGACAAATTTCCCTAGGGCCAAAACAACCCCTACTTACCAATGTACTCTAATAATCATATCCATCAACATGGATGACATTATAAATGGTTAACGTGTTGAAAACTCACTCTATTTGAGAAATGGATCTGTGTGTGATAAATATGTTAATTCATTTAATCCATGTAATAATCCTATGAGATAGGTACTGTTATTGTTTCTATGTTGTAGATGATGAGGTGCAGAGAGAATAAATAACTGCAGAGGCACATAGGTAGGGTTAGCTCAAGAATCCTCATTCTTAGCCCCCATAGTGTAATTTTACTCTATGTAAAATTACATAGAGTAAAATTACACTACTCTCTGAGCAGTAGTAGATACAACTGCAAACAGACACGTGCTAACCCTGGCTGGTAGCTCAGGTGGTTAGAGTGTTGTCCCAATAAGCCAGAGTTGCAGGTTCAGTCTCTGGTCAGGACACGTACAAGAATCAACCAATGAATGCATAAATAAGTTGATCAACAAACTGAGATATTTTTTTTTCTCTCTCTCTCTAAAAATGAATTAAAAAACAATACAAAACAGACACATGCCACAAGCACTTGCCGCTGCCTCCATACTTCTTTTCCAATTACTTCACTAAACTGCTGTCTGTAATTCTTGGGAATCTTACCCAGTGTAACAAGAATGAATGAGTGAATGAATGAATGAATGAACAAAAAAATAAAGTAAAATAGGAAATGGAATCTGACACATAATGCACTAGACTGCTGCTGCCTTACAAATCTTAATCTTCTGATCTGTATGGGGAAGGAACACTCAAACCCTCTGAAAAGGGCTAAAAATGTAAATAAGAATTAAAAAGAAATCTGTGCTTTCCAAAGTCCCACAACATTAGCATTGTCACTAAAAACAAATCCTTTTGACAGGATATTTTAGAAATTGATGGCTATTTTTTCCCTCCACGAATTACAATAATTACTTTACCCGAGGGAAACCTCAGAATCATATAAACTCAGAATCTTAGAGATAAACCCCTCTCAGGCTTTCTCTTGATAGAAGGTTAAGAGATAAATTACTTGTCCAGCTACAAAGTGGCAGGACCAGGTCTAGAACTTAGTCCTCCACCTCTCATTCTGCTCATTACCTCTTCCTTATAAATAAATGCTATGAAAGGATACCAGACTAATAAATATTTCATTAAATTTTGTGGATGAAATTAAAACTATCTTAATGACGACTCAGAGAAAGCATAAGTTTCAAGATATGTCATAATATAAGTGATAGACGTAAATAATGTTTCAGGAAAGCAAAATAAAGTCTTAATTTACAGACTTGTAGCAAGTACATCCACAGGCTTTCAAACTGGACTCACTTTTCACCAGGAGAATTTGAATTGTACCATTTGGGAATATGAAGGAATTCTATTCAGAATAGCACAGCTTAATCTCCTAGTGGAATATTGTTTATTTTGTAATCCTGTTATTTAAAAAACTTAAGGCTATATATAAGATTTATTGTCATCAAATAAATGAGACTAATCAATAAACAATAACAGTTTTCCTAAAATTGCTCACTTCCTATCTGCCTAGCAAACTAATCCTTGCATTAGTTAGATACCCTGGTATCTAAAAATTTAGGAGATAGCTTACCTTAATATACGAAATGATATCCTAACAACAGTAACTAACATTTATAAGACACTTTATAGTACACTTTTACATATATTATCTAATTTAATCCTAAAACAACTTATTTTATGCCTATTTTACAGCTATTTTATGCCCAATTTGCTTGGCTAATAAAAGGCAGAGCCATGATTCTAAAGACTATGGTAGCCCTGCCTGGCGTGGCTCAGCAGTTGAGTGTTGACCTAAGATCTAGTTGATCTGGGTTCGATTTCCGGTCAGGGCACACGCCCGGGTTGCGGGCTCAATCCCCAGTGGGGGGCTTGCAGGAGGCAGCCAATCAATGACTCTCTCATCATTGATGTTTCTATCTCTCTCTCTCCCTATCTCTCTCTCTCTCCCTCTCCTTTCCTCTCTCTGAAATCAATAAAGATAGATTTAAAAATAAATAAATAAAACCTATGGTATTTCTGACACAGTTTAGTGCTTCTGCATTTGTCCATTTAAGTCCCCTTGAAGTAGACAATTATGAAATAGACTCTAGGTAGGATATGAGAAAGAGCTGAGAACATGGAAACTAAGATACTGCTTTGAAGACACTTGTTTTACCTTAAAAGTAAACAAGGTTTGCCTGCATTTTAAGCCACATTTATTTAACATATGAAATTATTTAATGCTCCTATCTTCTATTTGGTACAGAATCAAAAATGTACCACTGTGGTTTGGGTCATCACTGTGGACCCCGAAAATGCAAACATTTCCTTTGAGAAATAGCATTTCAGCACACTGCTTCCCATGATGACCAGAGTGTGCTCAGGCCTTTCACCTTAAGGTTTGCTGTATGCCCTCTTCCTTTCTCACCTCAAGGTAACTGGGGTCTGGTGCGGTCCTTACTGCTTCATAGAGCTCTGCACCATCCTGCATAGCACGGACTTGTTGTCTGGTTAGTGTATATGACAGTGTACCTTGTTTTGGTATATTTTCTAGGGGGGGAAGAAAAGCATAACTAATTAGCTAAACCACAAAGTTAACAACGCTGAAAACAAGACAACCAAGCAAAAAGCACAAAAAGAAAGGAGATTAAAAAAATAAACCATTTACCTGTTAAAAGTTTTCTAGGAAAATGTGAAGCTACTGTATTCATGGTTTAAAAAATTGTCAAAGAGTTTACTTGATTAATTTGTAAATTATAATTTCATAATTCGCTTAATTATGAAAATGGCATGAGCTAGCAGTATGTTTAAGCAAATCAAATTTTGAATCTAATTTTTCTGAGATTTATATACAGCATGAAGTTAAATAATATAGAAAATCATGAAGAAAAGCAAACATTAAGTTTTCAGCAATGAAACGATAAAAATGTAAATTTCATGTCCTGTAAGCAAAAAAAACCACTATGATTTTTACTATTAAAATTGATGCCACAGGAAAAACAAGTTCTAGTTCCAAGTATAATAATGTAACGTCTAACAATTACAACAACAAGAACTACAAAAGTTATATAATAAAGATAAGGACACTGAAGAAAGAGAATGACAATGGCTTAGGAGAAAATAATTTTTTGATTTTTTTTTAAATTGAATGTATTTGACATGAAACACTGTAAATTTAAGGTGTACATGTTACTTGGACACATTTATACACAGTAATACGATTGCCTTTGTACAAATATTTATCACACTGCATAACTGTAGTACAATAGTGTTCTTTATATTCACTATACTGTGCACTAGATCTCTGGCTTACTTACTACTTATTGCAAATCTGTACCTTAAACACCATCAGTATTATCCTCCTACCCTATCCCCTGGTAATCACCATTATACTCTCTTTATTTTACGAGTTTACCTTTTATATACTTGACATATAAGTGATATCATATAGGACTTATCTAGGGAAAATAATTTGATAGCTCTTTCCCTCGATGCTATTCTTTCTCTAATGTCAAAAAAGGTACTATAAATGCTTGAGTACTGAAGCTTAAGAGGGAGTTGTGCTGTGGGTATGTCATGTATTATTGCTTAAGACAATTACAAGTATCTAAAAGCTCAGTATGTTGAATAAAGATGTAATAATTTGGGGTCAGTTCAATGCTTCTCTGTATATTTATGTAATAATATTTTTAGAAAAACAAAAAATTTGATTCAGAATTAGAAAAAAGAAATCTATTACTTAAAGACAATTTACCTAATGATAAAATTTAAATTAGAAGCCTCCAAAAGTTTTTTCTAATTAAAAAACTTGGTTTCCAGAGACAGAATGATGGAACAGACTGATGAATCTCAGAGGGAAGGCTGGGGTGGGGGTTGGGGTGGGAAGAGATTAACAAAGAACTAATATGCATATATGCATAACAGAAGGACACAGACAATAGTGTTGTGAAGGTCTGGGGTAGGGTAGAAGGGGTCAATGGGGAAAAAAAGAGGGTATCTGCAATACTTTCAACAATAAAGACATATAAAAACAAAAAAAAACCCGTTTTCATATAAATAAACTTGTAATGTACAACTCATTTTACCTTCATGCTGTTCAAATTCCGCTAGAATTTTAGTGAATAAGGCTTCTAGTTTCCTTTGTTGGGCCTCCATGTGTTTTGCTGCTTCCTTTTCTTCTTCTCTTTCATTTCGAAATACGTATAATCCAGAGGATGTCTTCTCCATCCACTGTAATAATGCATCAAACAAAAATACACACACAGTAAGGAGGAATCATTCAAAATAACTGTCTCAAAAGAAAGTATAAATACAGCATAAGTTTTAAGAATATGTTATACCTGCATAGGGTATGCTCTTTGAATAACTACATCAACACAACCAACATTTCCTCCATCACTGAAAAGTGATGACAAGGGGAGAGGAAAAGGTCTAGGGTCCGGAGAGAATCCAAGCTTCGCATACCAACAGGCAGGCCGGGTACTGTTAGCAGAAATCTGGATAAATTAAGGAATACAATGATTTATAAGTTAGGTAAATATATTCAATTCTATTTCAGATTTAATAACATTTTCATTCTTTTAGGACTGCTTTAAATATATTCACTTTAAAAAGTCTGAGGAAACTAGTGTAAGATTCCAAGATGGCAGCAGAATAAGTGGAAGCTACACTGACACTCTCCCAGGATCAAACTGGAATTACAACTAAAATATAGAAAAACCATCCTGAATAATGAACTGAAGACTAGCTGGAGAGAATCCTCAGAACCAAGGACATAAAGTGAAGACCGCGTAGAGACTGGTAGGAAGTGCAGAGGGGCAAGATGGCTGGCAGGGCTCCCACAGGCAGCAGCTGAAGTTCCCAAAGGATATTTCAGCTGTAAGGGGGATCTCACTGAGAACTCTGGGGGTATAAACCCCAAGCTGGACTCCCCAGCCCAGACAATCAGAACTGAGAAAGGTACCCACATAACATCTGGTTGTGAAAAGCAGCAGGGGTTCTGTCTGACAGGGAGAGATGGCTGGAAATGCAGCCACACTCTGAAAGGGCCAATGCACAAAATTTTGACTGCAGCCACTTACCTTGGGACTCCATCGGACGGAGGGCAGAGTGGACTAGAGCTGTGTGAGGAGAATCCATGAGTACTGGACTAGGGAATAGAGCTCAGGGGGCAGTCATCTGGATTTGTGTGCTGAGTCATTCCCCATACTGCAGGGACACGTTTCTCAGGCAGGTGTTTATCATTCAGGCAGCTTTTGTGTTTGGGGGGGGGGCAGGAGCAATTGCCCCACCCATCGTGGAGTTTATGCCTTGCTATGGTCTACAGGCTGTGGCTCATTAAGAGACCGAGAATAACAATAAGCGCGCAGGCAGAGGGAGATCATTGCGTGCTTTGAGTCTTCGCCTGATCTGCTTCTAGGCTTGAATAAGCAGACATTAGTGTGCATCTTGGTCCTTTCTAAACTCATTCAGACCCAGCAAAGGGAACCACAAGCTGTGGATCCTTGATAGCTCCAAAGAGGGTACTATCAAGCTCCAAGGCCAGTCACAAAGAGTGTCTGATACTGGCCTGTATTAGAGACCCTCGAAAAACACTGGGAGTCCTAGCAGATCCACCTAATACATAGATACAAACTCACACAGGCAGCCAAAATGGGGAGACAAAAAACACATGCCCCAAATGAAAGAACAAGAGATTTCTTCAGAATAAGGGCTAAATGAAATGGACATAGCAATCTATCAGATATAGAGTTGAGAAAACTGGTTCCAAGGATATTCAACAGCATGAGAAAAGATATGGAAACTATGAAGAAAATTAAGAAGACACTGGAAGGAATAAACAGCAGATTGGGGAAAGCTCATAAGCAGATCAGTGAATCAGAAGACGGTAGAAAAATCGCTCAATCAGAGAACCAAAAAGAAAAAACACTTAAAAACAAGAGGACAGTCTAAGGGAGCTGTGGGACAACACGAAACATAACAATATTCACATTATAGGAGTGCCACTAGATAGCAACCTGTTTGAAGAAATGGCAGAAAACTTCCCTAACCCGGTCAAGGAAAAAGTCAAACAAGCACAGGAGGCAAAGAGAGTCCCAAGCAAGAAGAACTCAAAGAGGCCCACACACAGACACATCATAATGAAAATGCCAAATATTCAAGACAGAGAGAATCTTAAAGTCAGCAAGAGAAAAGCAGTAAGTATGTTACCTACAAAGGAGCTCCCATAAGGCTGTCAGCTGAATTCTCATCAGAAACTCTACAGTCCAGAAGGGAATGGCATGAAGTATTCAAGGCAATGCAAAATAAGGATCTGAAATCAAGAACTACTGTATCCATCAAGGCTATCATTGAAAATAGATGGTGAAATAAAGAGCTTTCTAGACAAAAAAGGGCTAAAGGAGTTTATCACCACCAAACCAGAATTGTAAGAAACGTTAAAGGGACGGCAGTAATAAGTAGAAATATGGAAACATAGGCATACATAATTAAAATATTTAATAAATAAGTACCTATCAATAATAAGCTTAAATGTAAATGGATTAAATAATCAGATCAAAACACATAGAGTAGGTGAATGGATAAGAAAACAAGACCAAAATATATGCTGTCCACAAGAGTCTCGCCTCAGAAAAAAAGACTCAAATAGTATGAGTAAAGGGATGGAAAAATTTTCCACTCAAACAGATATTAAAAAAACCCCTGATATAGCAATACTCATATCTGACAAAACAGACTTCAAAATGAAGGCCATAACAAGAGACATTAAAGGACAATACATAATACTAAAGGGATAGATCCAACAAGAGGATATAACACTAACAAAAATGCACACAATATAGGAGCACCAAAATATATTAAAAAAACTCCTGCAGGACTTTAAGGGAGAGATCGACAGCAATACAGTCATACTAGGGGATTTTAACACCCCACTGACTTCACTGGATAGGTCTTCCAGACAAAAAATCAATGAGGAAACAGTGACACTAAATGACACACTAGATCATGGATTTGACATTTATAGAACATTTCACCATAAAGCTGCAGAATATACATTCTTCTCAAGTGCACACGGGACCACATGTTAGACCACATGTTAGGACACAAAAACAAGTCTCTATAAGTTGAAGAAGGCTGAAATCATATCAAGCATCTTTTTGGATCAAAATGGCATGAAACTAGAAATCAACAACAATAAAAACACTCGAAAATATTCAAACACATGGAGGGTAAACAGCACGTTAGTAAACAATGAATGGGTTACCAGGAAGAAATTAAAATGTCCTGGAAACTAATGAAAATGAATACACAACAACCCCAAATCTATGGGACACAGAGATAGCAGTCTTCAGAGGGAAGTTCATAGACTACAGGCCTACTTCAAAAAAACAGGAGAAACATTTAATAACCTATCTAACCTTAAAATTTGAAGACTTAGGAAGAAAACAACAAGAAAAGCCCAGAGTAAGTAGAAGGAAGGAAATAATAAAGATCAGAGCGGAAGGAACTGACATAGAGACTATAAAAGCAGTACAAAAGATCAATGAAACCAAGAGGTGGTTCTTTGAAAAGATAAACAAGATTGATGAACCTTTAGCCAGACTCAAGAAGAAACAATGAGTATGAAACCAAACAGGTGAAGTAACAATTGACAACACAGAAATACAAAGGATTGTAAGAATATACAATGAACAACTATATGCTACCATGCTGGACAACCTGGATGAAAAGGAGAAATTCCTAGAAAAATACAACCTTCCAAAACTCAATCAGGAATAGTCAGAAAACCTGAATTGGCCAATAACTATTGATGAAGTTGAAGCAGTAATCAAAGAACTACCAGCACATAAAAGCCCTGGCCTGGATGGCTTCACAGCAGAGTTTACCAAGCATTCAAAGAGTAACACCTATCCTCCTTCAAACTATTCCAAAAAATGCATGAGGAAGGAACACTTTGAAGCTCTTTTTATGAGGCCAGCATTAGCCTAATTTGAAAAACAGATAAGGACACTATGAAGAAGAGAATTACAAGTCAATATCCCTGATGAACAAAGATGCTGAAATCCTCGACAAAATACTAGCAAATTGGATCTAGCAATATATTAAAAAGATCATATATCATGACCAAGTGGGATTTATTCCAGGAATGCAAGGCTGGTACTATACTCGCATATCAATAAATGTGATACATCAAACAAACAAAGTGAAAGACAAAAATCACATGATCATATCAACAGACACAGAAAAAGCATTCAACAAAATCCAACACTGATTTTATATAAAAACTCTCAGCAATGTGGGAATAGAGGGATCACACCTCAACATAATAAATGCCATATACGACAAACGTACAGCCAGGATCATACTCAGTGGGCAAAAGCTAAAACCATTTTCCCTAAGAAAAGATGGGGATGCCCGCTTTCACCACTTTTTTTCAACAAAGTACAGAAAGTCTTAGCCACAGCGATCAGACAAGAAGAAAACATAAAAGGCATCCAAATTGGAAAGGAGGAAATAAAACTGTCATTATTTGCAGATGACATAATATTGTACATAGAAATTTCTAAAGACTCCGCCAGAAAACTACTGGATTTAATAAATGAATTTGGCAAGGTAGCAGGATACAAAATTAACACCCAAAAATCAGTGGCATTTTTATGCACCAATACTGAACTCTTAGAAAGAGAAACAAACAAAAAAAACGACCCCATTTACCACTGTAAGAAATAAATTAAGATACTTAGTAATAAACTGAACCAAAGAGAGGTAAAAGACCTGTAGTTGGAAAACTACGGGATGTTGCAAAAAGACATAGAGGAAGATATAAAGAAGTGGAAGAATATACCATGTTCATGAATTGGGAGAATTAACATCATTAAAATGTCCATACTACCTAAAGCAATCTAAAATTCAATGCAATTCTTATTAAAATACCAACAGCATGTTTCACAGATCTAGAACAAATACTCAAAAATTTATATAGAAACAAGAAAGACCCTAAATAGCCCCAGCAAACTTGAGAAAGAAGAACAAAGTAGGAGGGATCACAATACCAGATATCAAGCTATACTACAAAGCCACTGGAATCAAAACAGCCTAGTATTGGCACAAGAACAGGCATATAGGTCAATGGAACAGAACAGAAAACCCAGAAATACACCCAAGCTATTACATTCAATTAATATTTGACAAAGGAGGCAAGAACATACAATGGAATAAAGACAGTCTCTTCAATAAATGGTGCTGGGAAAATTGGACAGGTACATGCAAAAAAATGAAACCAGACCACCCACTTACACCATACATAAGAATAAACTCAAAACTGATAAAAGACTTAAATATAAGTTGTGAAACCATAAAAATCCTAGAAGAAACCATGGGCAGCAAAATCTCAGACATCTCTTGTAGCATTACGTTTGCTGATATGTCTCCTAAGCCAGAGAAACAACAGAGAAAATAAATGTGTGACTACATCAAAATAAAAAGCTTCTGTACA